TAAATTGATCAAACATAGGCTCACTGTCTGCCGCTGGCCGCTTGGTCGTTACTTTAAAAAACAAAAACTTATATTTAACAAACAAAAAATGCTCCAAACTTTTTTCTAAATGAACTTAATAAAAAAACGAAACAAAATATATTCACTTTGCCATTACATACAAAACTGAACTATTTTAATAGCTGGAACAGTAGTATAAGCTGTTTTGGGAGAAGGAGAAAAAAAAGACGGGCTTGGGTCGGACTCGGGCCGGTAATTCTGTTAAGCTGTCGGACACGGGCCAGGCTAGGGTCTGATCATCTCGGGCCAGGGCCGGGCTAGGGCCTAAATTTGAGGCCCGTGCAGGGCTCTAGTTTATACAACAGCATGATTTCAAAAGCCTTGCATGACTTAAATGACGCACTTATATGGTATTTGTTTTAATTTTACATTTTTATATTTTTTAAAGATTTATATTTATACAAACAGAAAAATGTTTTGATTAATGTGCATGGTGCTTTTTTATTGAAAACACTTGGAAAATAAATAAATAAAAAATAAATAAACTATATATATTGGCCTGTGCTTTCATTGGATTCCTATTTCACTGAAAGGAGAAAGTCATACAGGTTTGTAACAACACGTGTGTGAGGAAATAACATTTAATTCTGGAGTGAATTCTTCCTTTAAACATTATTTTTCTTAATAACGTAAACCTTTTGAAACAGGAAAAGCAATTGAGCACTGAACATTTTTGTTTAACTGGATCTCTTTCTGTTACTTTGGCTTTTCTGCATTCAGATGTTCTCTCCAAATATTTGAGACAATTTCAGTCACTAGAAATGCAACCCAAATATTATATTATGAAAGCAATGAATAACAAGCACATTCAGTGCACTGCGCTGTAAATACAAGCCGCTTATTAAACACTTTTACGAGGCTTTCGGATCTACATCGAACATGTAAATTTTAAAAAACAACATCCAGCTAAGAATTAACACGCCCCAAAACAATTACTAAACTAGGTTACAGATAACCATTTTCATGCTAAGATGCACATACCTTCCATATCTTAGAGGAGGCTGATGGAAATTGATGGCCACAGTGTATGGGGGCAATCAAAACATTTTAGCCCTGACGTTTCACACTTCATAACTCCATTCCACAATTCAAATCAAATAAATTGACAGCTGGGTGCCTGGCAGGCCCCCTGCCTAAAAGCTTTTCATGCATAGTGGAGTGATTCAGAATGCCCTCTAAACACTCTCACACACACACACACACACACACACACACTCATGACTGTCCACTAACCACAGGCAACAAAACAGTCAGGAGAAGCAAATCTGCACATTCAAACCAAATATCACTCCAGAAAATCCACACACATATTTGAGAGACAGACAAAATTCAATGATGAAACTTTTCAGACGTCAACATAAGACATCTCAGTGATTCTGAAATTTAAAATTAATATTTGGAACATTGTTCATCTTTAGGAAAAAGAAAACCTCAGACGGCATATATATGTATATAGACATTATATACAATACAGTCACTTAAAGGGACAGTGCAACCAAAATCAAAATGTAAAGTGTAATTTACTCCTGTGATGCAAAGCTGAATTTTCAGCATCATTACTCCAGTCTTCAGTGATCCTTCAATCAAATATGCTGATTTGTTGCTCAAGAAACATTTCTAATTATTATCAATGCTATCAATAGCATTTATATGAAACAGATTTTCTGTAACATTATAAATGTATTTACTGTCACTTATGATACATTTAATGTGTCCTTGCAACGTGAAGATGAGTACAGTTAATAATGACAGAATTATCATTTATTAGACACTACTGTCTCATAAACACTCTCATACTGACTCACACACACCATCTCTTATGGGAGTATGAATGTTTGGACTTAATTGTTTTTTAAAGAATATATCAAAGAAAAAAGATCCTGCATGCGATGTCTTGCATAGGACAAGAACTTGCAGTAACAGTATCCAACTATTCATAGGCTTTCCTTAAACTTTCATGCTTGCTGTTTTATTTCATGTCAAAGGATTGTTTATACTGGCATATTTTTTTTTATGTTTTCCAGCAGCCTAGTTTTGATTTAATATGCTATCATGTTTATGATTTCATGTTGGGTCAGTAAATCACACACTGAGGTGTGGCGGAGCAGCCTGGTGTAATATACTGCCAAGCACACGTTTACATGTTACGGATTATAAATCAGTCTTAATAGAGAGTTACAGCCTGAGTTTTGCTTTTACAGCTGCCAATTTACTGTACACGCTGACTGAAATGTTTAAACCCTCTTCAGCCACTGTTTGGACAAACAGGTATTTCTGCTTCAACTCATGTCTTTAGTTTAAGCATTAAAGAAATTCACCTTTAACATTTAATTGTGTTCTTAAGTCCAGTTTTAGATTTGCATACCTACCAGTTAGATACGTTTTTGTTTTAAATTCATAGGTTTTCTTGTAAATGAAAGGGCATTAGAGATTGATGGCAGGCCTTTTATTAAAGGGGCTTTTAAAATATCATCCATTGCCTTTAGCGAAGCTCTTCTGTAAATTTGTGCCCTTGTTCGGTGTTAATATACTGTTAATACTGGTCGTATTGAACATATCTCGTAAAACACAGGTTCTTTACAACCCAATGAAACAGAAAGCGTGAGGTGGCTGAAGGGAAATATACAGACAGATGGATAATTCGGCTGTAAGCTGCACTCAAGATGTTTTGATACAGGTCTGAGGTTGTGTCTAGTTCAGTGTAAACCTCCTAGAGAATCAAATCAATTTAGAAAATCCATTTAAACAATGCTATTCCTAAATATATCAGATTCAAAAAGCATCTGGAGTGCACTAGATAGTCTAGCAGAGTAACCTCACTGAAACAAATTTGGTGAAGAAACAATTTTCACTCAGAAATTGCAGGTAAACTTCACCAACAATTACAAAGACACAACAAGTAACAAACTGAATTTAAAAATAGTGAAGAACTTTAATAAGCTCAAAACAATTAAACATCTCAAATTCCTGCATGGACTTAGATTATAAGATGATAAAAGATGATAAGAACCTGAAATCCAAGGCAGCTGTTATACAAACAGAATAAACAATCTATACATATTTTCGCATTAAACTAGTTGTTGTTGTATAGTAATATTTGTAGTACATTTGATTATATGTATTTTCCAGTTCAACAAGAGAACACATGGATACTCCATTTATGATGTCATTACAATGTACTACCAGAGTAATTTCACTTTTGACAACATGTTCTGAACAAAATCAAGCAATTCTTCCATTTTCTACAGTATGTG